ATTTTTATTTATTAAGTCTTTTAGCAATGTCCATTTAAATGATGAACATAAGTTACTTATAAGTTGATGAGTGTCGTGAAGATGTGTTTCATAAGTGTTTTCTGTTTTTACATTATGTGGAATTATTGACTTTTTAATATGTGTTTATTTGCGAGTGGTTTCGTCTTATTAGACTGTTCACTTATGGATGAGAAGCTACTTCTTTGTGCTGTTATTTTAATTTTTAAACTAAAAATGATTTTTAATCTTTTTGATAGAATAATTGGTGTTTTTTGGAAGTACAATTTGTTGATATGATTTACATCTATATTATTATTGAGACAATCATAATAATGTTTGATTTTGAGTATGTTTAAGTAGTGTAAATACAAATACGAAGAAGTTACACTCAGGGACATATCAATCAGGGGTTTTCTTTGGTTTATTCAACATTTTCACATTATATACATAATTTCATAAAAATACTTATATATATATATATATATATAATTTTAAACAATTTTAATTTTTCTTTTAAAAATCGACTACTTTTTTTTTAATTTTTAAATATTAGTACTTCAAAAACATTATTTATATCATTCATCTAATACATAAGACATGTAATGCATATGCTGCTTATTACTAATGAAATAAAATTCCATTCCAAATCCCTAAAGCATCTTCAATGAATTGTATAGATTGCAATCTTTGTGGTATACAGCTATATATAGAGACTTTAAGTTCCCATGACATTGATTTTTAATGAATAGATGATCAAGTTCAAATTCATCTCCAATGTACATGTCTGTAACTCAAATTGATTTAACAAGAGTGACAAAAAATGACAAATAGAAGAGAGAAGAATAAAACAAGAGAAAGAAAGACAGAAAATTTAGACTTTGTTAATCCACTCTGTTTAACAGAGCCTAGACATCTAGATGGCCCTCTTTACAGTATTTATGTTTTTCTTGTCACGTCCACTACACAGAGTCACGGCCCTCTTTACAGTATTTAGGTTGCATTGCAGAAAATATTTTGTAGGCATTGTCCATTTTTTTTCCTTGTGTAGTAATTGTTTTATACAATCCTCATTAGCATTTGAGATGTTCTAAGCCTATACTTCCTCTCTCTTTCTCGATTCTCACAAATGGCTCACCCTCTCAAATCCAATAGATTGACGTCTTGTGTCATCAGCTGCCTATAGACATCTCTTATTTTCTAGAATCTCTACACTATTTGGGGTAGTTTTCAAACATTTTAGGGCTTTACTCTTTTGCAATGAATCTTGTCCAAGACTCGTCTACACAATCAAATTGGAAATCAATGGTTGAATGATAATTTTGTTATATTTATTAAGAATGATATATTTAACAAAATTGATTAAAATATATATATATATATATACACACAATGGTTTTAAAATATGAAAATGTTTTCACAATAACTGTAATAATATATCGAAATGTATTCATTAGTGATATATGGTTTTCAAAATTTTTTTGCTACTCAACTTTTGCCCACTTAGAAAAATTCCTGATTCCATCAACATCGAAAAGAAATTGAGAGGATACTTGTGTTATTGTAACAAATAAGGATAATTACCATATCAAATATATTTAATTTCAGAACTAGACAAAATATTAGAGATTTTTTTAGATGAACAAAAGTATGATACTGAGATATTTGATGGAATAAAGCTTTAGCATAAATAAAGTTGAAAACTAGACTAGTAGCTCATAAAAGGGTAATTAACATAAAACGTTCTTTTATCATTTTATTCCCATCTCCACTTGTTTTTGTACAAAATGTCATTTCCGTCACTTGCCATCCAATTTTTCCATTATATAAGTTCATGCCTTGAACATGACAAAACTAGAGGTAAAAATGTGAGTACACTTAACCTTTTCCATTTATAAGGGAGTGTTTGACACCCATTTTAATGGGTTGAAAAATTTTGGAATAGTGATTGTGGGAAAATGTGTGGTGGAAAAGTGATGAAAAGTTTTAGATTTGTGTGTAATATTATTTTATTTGGAGATTGTGTGGTTGAAATGAAAAAAGAGAATGAGTGCTAATGTTATTAATATATAAAAAATGACTAAAAGAAAAATATAAGTGGAAAATAAAAATTCCAAATTACCTGATCATTTCGCCCATTTAAATTGAGGATTCAGAATTCCTAATATTTTTGTGATTTGATTAAACTTCAAGACTTGTTTCCTCAGTTTTTTATTTTAGTTGATAGTTAGATTAATCCAATAATATTTGTCTGTATTTCAAACTAGAGCTAGGTTTAATTTCTCATGGACTCGATACTCTATTTATCGGGAGAAAATGAACAAAAAAACAGAGAATAAAAAAAAAAGAGACATTAGAACTATACTCGATAATAAACACACAAGTTGCCCCCAAACTAAAACGAATACACTCTAAAACAACTTTATTTTTGTGATCCTACACAATGATGAAATGACTTACAATGAGTCTAGTCCTAGTATCCCAATTTCGTGTCCCCTTCAATGTCCCCAAATTAAAAGGTGCCACATCATCCAAAACTTACACGTCACCAAACACCATTAACAAACGAGAAAAAATGGAGTAGAAAAAAAAAATTGAAATGACTTTGCTTTACCATTTTTTCTGTTTGTTCACGGTGTTTGATCATGCGTAAATTTTGAGCGTGTTGTGGTGTGATCCAAATTCCATGTATTTGAGTTTGATAGAATAAAAGAAGTCGAAGGAGTTTTGACTTTTAAGAATCCAAATTAATGAAGATCAAATTTTATCAAGGATTGGGATTTGGGAGTTTGGTTTGAAAATTGACTTCTTCTTCATCTAGAACTCTAACACACACACACACACACACACACACATATTTCAATTGAGAGAATTAAGATTTTGATATTTGTAAATACAATTACTATTGATTTTAGTAAATTTTCCTCCTCCGCCCATGGTTTTTCCCATATTGGGTTTCTACGTAAATCTTGGTGTTTTTTTCTTCTTATTTATTTCATTATCTTGCGATCTAAAATTCATAACAAGTGGCATTAGAGTAAGATTGATTGTTCCACATGGAGACAATGAAATATGATAATCCGCTATTGGATATAACCACGAGATTTACCTTATGGCAAGTGAAGATGCAAGCAGTTCAAAACCTTGCTTGGCTTTAATAGAATGTTTGCTACCTGGACGCATGATGAAAAACAGTGTAGGGATCAGAAAAATTCAATCACAAATTCATATACATCTTTCAAATCAAATTCTCAAGGATGTTCTAAAGGAGAGAAGTGCCGTTGCGTTGTGGTCGAAGTTGAAGTAACTTTGCATGACAAACAGCTTGACCAACAAATTACACTTGAAACAACACTTGTATTCTCATCGGATGTCTAAAGGTGCATTATTGGATGACCACTTAACTATGTTCAAAGAAATCGTGGCTGATTTGGAAACATTGAAGTTAAGTATGACAAGGAGGACTTGGCATTGATGTTGTTGTGTTCTTTGCCGCCATCATATGTGATTTTTAGAGATACTATTCTCTATAGTCAGGATACTCTCACCGTGGAAGAGGTCTATGATATTTTACTATCTAAGGAGAATATGAGACATCTTGCTGGAGGATCTGGGAATCATGCTGAAGGCTTGATTGTGCGTGGAAGAAATCAAGATAGGAATCTTGATAGAAATATGAGGGGCAGATTGAAATCTAGACATGTTAAGAAGATATGTTACTATTGTAAGAAGAAGGGGCATATTAGAACGGATTGTTATGCCTTGAAAAACATAAATAAAGTTGTTGGTGCCACTGAGAAAGTGAATCAACCTGCTAACATAGTGAAGGCTGATATTATGGAAGATGGGCAAAGTGTAGGAGAGCTTCTATGATTTCTGACAAGGATTCCAAACCTTGTGAGGAATGGGTTCTAGACTCGGATTGTACTTTTCATATGTGTCCCAATAGGGACTGGTTTTCAACATATGAAGGAGTTTCAAGAGGTGCAGTGATATGGGAAACAACGCGTCTTGCAAAATTACCGGAGTTGGTACAGTCAGAATCAGAATGTTCAATAGGGCGATCAGGACACTTACAGATGTCAGACATGTTTTAGAATTGAAGCGGAATCTCATATCTTTGAGTGAACTTGACTCAAAGGGTTATAGATACACTAGTGAATGTGGAGTTTTAAAGGTGAGCCGAGAGGAAATTGGAGACAACATATGTGGATTCACTCACAATTATGAATTATTGTAAATTCAGTTGGAACATCCAAAATAATTTAACTATATCAACCATAGAAAATGAGCCATTTTATTTTAGGTTAAGAAGATAGGCATCGATTACTATACTCTTTCTTGTATTAAAATGAGTGCATGTGCAAGAAAACCCTATTAAGAGCAGGTAGTCTGCATCTTTACATAAGCTTCTGAATCTTTCACGCGTGTCTATTTCATTGATTCTCTCGACCTAATAGATGAAAATCTTAAATTCTCCCTGTTAACAAAATACTGAGCTGAATACAATGACACAATGTGAAGAAGGGGATGTTTATCGCCATTCTTCAAATTGCTTTTTGGATGGAAAAATGATTTTTTCTCAAGACTTTCACTGGCATTGAGTTGGTTTATTACATTGATGAAGAAATTCATAACTTTTCATAAATTGTAAAGTGCATGATTTTTTTTTTCTTTGATTTGTTTTATTGAGTTTCCCATTCTCAATATTTTGTCACTATTTATAAGAAAAATATTTGAACTCATACACTCAAGTATAAACTGTTTTGATAAAATAACTAAAGAAAAACATAGAAGAATCTATTCATAATCAGATGTAGTACACTTTCACTAAATTGTATACATAACTACAACTGTGGTATCAAATGAAATTACATAAAACATATATGGCATGTTCGGCAAGCAGAGAATTGGATAGTAATAGACGTGAACGCATATAAACTTAAATCATGTTCATTAATCATATAGCCCTATCGAGTACTGCATAGCAGATAGGGACGTGTTTACATTGGAGTTGGAGCACAATCTATAGGTGAAGATGGAGAAGGAGCAGAAGCAGACATAGGACCAGCAGCAATAGGGCCAAGAGCTGCACCAGAACTTTGAATTTGAGCCATTGAATGGCGTGAATTTGTTCGTTGAGATTTGCACAGATCAAGTAAAAATGCTCCTGTCAATTGTTATCAAATACCATATTAGCAATAGCAGATGCAAATTATCACTGCGTCGAGTTTCCATTTATGAAAATTATGTACGTGTCACGACTTCAATAAAAAAAATGTGTATGGACTGTTCGTGAGAGGGCTCGTGTTGGAGACTTAAAATTAATAAATTTGTTTGCTATTTTAATAAGTTAAACTCTTAGATGATGTTGTTTGAGGAAGAATTGTGGTTGTGAAGATCACCTTCTCCGAGAGCCAAATTGTAATAAAGATCCACAATGTTGGGACAGTTCTGGTAACACTGCGGTGAGCACAGCTTGGCAGTGAACTGAGAGTCGAGGACGGCGTCTGATGAGATCCCGACAGATTTTCTATCGACCCCACATGAATTCATGCATTCATCAGCCTCAATATACTCGTTCAAGTTAATTGCAAAACTTTAGATGTCTTGCATTGGAAATCCGTAGTTCCATCATTTGATGCGTATGTCTCTAATAGGCATCGCTTCCCAGAGGACGCGATTGAGAATGAACACAATCCAATTGGCAATTCCTCGCACAATAATTCCCCTGCATCCAAGAAGGATGAGAAACAAAAATGTTAGTCATTGCACGGGATTGGACAATAGATAGAGAAAACTAATTGAATAACTCGTCTTGTAGATTACCAAGAGCGCCATGGAGGAAGAGAGTCAGGGCAAGGAAGATGAAAATTTTCATTTTAGCACAGAAGCTTGATTCATGCTTATAAAAAGTTTGGCTGGATGATGTTAAGAATGGAGTTAAGTTATATGCTTGCAGAGAGTACATACAGAAGATGGTATTTATAGTGTATCTGTGTCTTTTTTATTGGTGGGGGAGGGGAGGGGAGGGGTATGTTAAGAGATATATATCCCACATCGATAAATGATGTTGATACAGACCAATTAATAAAGATCTTGGGCTACTCCTCTTAACAAGGTTGACCTTTTAAGATGGACCCCCCAATTCTTAACAGGGTAGGGTGGGGGTGGGTGCTTAGCAAAATGACATTGTAATGGTAGTGTTTGAGATGTATTTTGTCGTAACTTATGGAATTTGATTGAAGGAATCTTTGTCTGTTTCACTTATGTTCAGTAAGACTTCTTATAATAATAATGTCTGTTTCACAGTTAAGGCACGTTTGATGTGTTCGAGGTAATCTTTAGCGCCGACCAAGAGTAAGTTGATGGAATAATGATCAAAGTAACACGTTTTGTGTAGGGAGAAAGAAGCCTTTGTTAGTGATAGTGACAAAATATTAGCAAAGCAAGTTTACAAAGAAAATATAGATCAAAATTTACATGGCTTAATATTTTGTTGTTGGAGCCGTACACATCAATATTTTAATGAATAACCTCAAAATATTAAGCCAAAAAAACCCATCAATATTTTCCAGATGCCCAGTCACCCGTGATGTCCGGCCCAAACGGACCGGATGGGTCCGTCCCGGAATTCATTTGGACAGCCCGAACATCTGGGCGATTTGGATCAGGACGACCCAGACGAACGGGTTGTTTGGATCCATCTGCATGTGTAATTTTAGATGATCGTAAATTTGTTTGAAATTATACATGCAGATGAATTTTTTTCTCATTTTTGTTTAAAAGGATTACAGATCCATTTAAGATCGTAAAATTTTCATATACCTATGTATGTCGCAATAAGATTTGAAGATTAAAATAATATACTAATTTAATCGAAGCGAATTTAAAAATACGTAAATATACTTACGGATTCCACTGATGGCTGTGAATAATATTTCCTTGTTGAGTGTTTGATAAATTTATCCGTTTTCAAGTTTGAAGCAGATGAAAATGAAACAGTTTTTATTTGTGTTGCAGTAAACAGATAAAGAAAGTGATTTGGTTTTCAAATTTTAATTGGGAATGTTTGGAATTCTTTATAACTTAAAAATTGTATTATTGTCTTTTGAACAATACCATATTTTTGTAATTGTATAATATTTTAAGGGTAATTTTGTCTTTTACGCATATTTAGGACATTGTGATGAATGTTAAATTTTTTTGGTCAAAGTGGAAAATGGTGAACTCGACTTGCCCAAACTGAAAAGTACCCCGACAAAGTTGCCAGTCTTTGTACTATTCTGAAATGGTTTCTGAATGCTGAATTGTTTTTTAAGGCTCACTTTAATCATAGTTGTATAAGATGAGAAATGAGATTATGCCCCATTTGGTGGGGATTAAAATTAATTTTTTAATCTAAGTTTAAATCAAAACTTAATTTAAATTACATATTTTATGGGATCCACAACTTTTCAATTATGCATTTCATCAATTTTTATCAAAATTTTAATAAATTTTGATTATAATCCCCACTAAACAAGGGCCATATACTACTAGCAAGGGTGGTGCCGATTGAGAATAAAGTAAGATATGAAAGACTTAAGTAGTTGGGACATATTTTACGTCGATCCAAAGAGGCCCCGTCGACAAGAGGCAATTTTGGTGGATCGAGTTAGAAGATGAAAGTTAATATAAATATCAATTAGGTTTGTGTTAGTTTCACTTATCTAGTTAGTGGATTAAGCAATGATAAGAATTCCCGTAGATATATGGGAATATAACTTGGTTTATTATTGTTGTTGTAATATGGTCAAGTTTGGTAAGTATGCTTACCAAACAAATTGTAAAACGAAAAATGTGTTAGGTCTCAGCTATTTTTTAGACAAAATTAAAGTAATGGAGTTATAACTAAAGTAAAACAGTCAATGGATTGGTAACATAAATCTTGAAGGACTCGAAAAGCTCAAAGATATACAAAAAGATCACATATGATCAATGTGATGCAATTAGAAGTAGAATGAGTGTTAAAGTGCCGCACAAGTCATGCTCCAAATTCTCAGTCACAAGTTGCAATGCATTTTTCACATAGAAAACATTCGAATTTGAGGATTTATGTTTTTAGAAGAATTGTATCCCTTTGATTTAGTTTTTCAACACACTTTGAATCTCCTCAATCCGATATTTGGAGAGAAAGATATGATGAAAATAATACCAGATGTTCGGAGAGAGCTGTCCGACCTCTAGGCACTCAAGTGGCAGTGTGACGAATAGAAAATCTTAGTTCGCGTGAAACAACTATTTTTTAATCATAATCAACCTTAAACACTACACATTATAAATATACAAGCCCTGAAATATTTTTTTTGTGTGATTGAACATTATTTTCATACAAGAATCATCCTTTGAAGATCAAACGCATATTTCAAAAGAATTTTTGATTCAGCCCCATAATCAAAGTTTCATTTATTTTCCCAAATATTCTTTGTTATTGATTGAACTTCATATTTAGTCAAGAGATAATCCTTTGAAAATCAATTACAGATTCCAATATTCTCTTGCCTCAGCCACATATCAAAACACATAAAGATCTCAAGATTAAACACTGCAAATCTCTACCTTCACCTATAAGCCTTCAGATTTCTGAAATTTGGGAAGAAGAGTTTGGAGTTCTAGCGCTCCGAAACGAGTTTGTTCTTGGTAATCCAGTGAAGAAAAAAGTAGTATAGAGTTCTAAGAAGCACGAGTCGCACAATCGAAGAGTTCTTCTGCGATTTACAAGTTGGGTAATTAGAGTCAGCTGAGGTTTAGTAGTGTCTCAACCAATTGTTAGATAACTTTTTTAGCGGATCTTCTTGACAAGGTTAGTTCGGAGGTTTTTTATCCTTGTGAATAGTTCTTCCGATAGCCCGAGAATGGTTAATCAAGAGAAGGGTGGGGGGGGGGGTGAATTTGTTATTTAAAATTTTTTCGAAAAATTAATATAAATATAAGCAAATAAGGAACAAATAGATAAATTCAAATAGTAATCGCAAATGTAAATACAATAAGTAAAATAGAGAGATGATGCAAACGATATAATTATGGAGTTTCGATTCAAAGCAATGATCTACGTCCTCAATTACCAAGCTCTCCAGTATGAGCAAGGCCTTTTCACTATGTTGATTGACTTATAGTGCAATCCTACCCTTTAAAACGCTGACTTACAACCAATAAACACCGATGCTTATACAAAGTTTAAGTTTTACAGGACCTCAACACAACTCACAAATTTAATAGGAAAGTGATTTTACAATTTGAAATTTCTCTCTTAATAAATGATATGGTCAAATTATGTTCCAAGAGAGAATAAGCTAACACTTTAATAAATAGCAATGAACTAAGTTCAAGTGCTAGGTGAAAAAAACTTTGATAAGTAAAACGATTTTTAAAACTTAATTCAATCAAAAGTTTTTCAAAGTAAATGATTTGAAAAAGATAAATCAATATAGCTTTGCTAAAAAATATCTCACATAAATGCTCTTAAAAGTGTTATATTGAATGTAAAATGAAGTGGTATTTGAAGCAGTCAAAACGCCAAAATTTCTAACCAGTCGAATGTCCACCCACTGGACGGACAACTAAACTAGTCATTGTGCGTCAAAAATCAGAAAGGTAAAAAATTTAACCGTTGGACGAATCGGAAATCGGCTATGACAAATTTTTTTTTTTTTTCTGATTTTTCCTTTCATGATTATTTCAAAAATTGTAGGCCTTTGGAGGATATTTTCACTTAACTTTTCAAAATAAGTGATATTGATAAAATATTTAAAAATCAATTAAATTTTTTTTTCTTATGCAAACGTTTTTATGAATAATTTATCTCGTGCATAAAAATTTAATATTTTGAGCTTTTAGTGATTCACTGCTAAGGATTAAAACATTTTACCTTTACATTCAAAACATCTAAATCTAATATTTTCAATGAATGCTTGATTCAGCATGAATGGTTTGATTGATTTGACGTGATTGCTCGGCTTCCATCTCGATTTTCTTTGATCGTAAATTGCGAGTCTTTTGGTAACAATCATTTTGTCTTCAATTGGTCAATTTGGTCATACTAACTACAAAAACTTGAATACAATTGCTAGAGATAAAATAATTTGTTTGTTATAATCAAAATATGAGATCAACCATATGTCAACATCTTCAAGGGTTTTTCTCCGTCATCAATTATGTTGTTATTTACTTTTTACTACTTTGATACAAGTGTTTATGTGATTGTTTAATTAGGATTTGACAACCAATAAATAGTGTCTTGTTACTTTTTATTCTTGATTGTTTGAATTCCACATATTTGGGTTTAAATATTTCCTAACAAATGGTATCAGAGCTTGATTACGATCTGTGATTCAATTTTATCTAGATGAGTCGATCACTTTCTGATGAATGATTTGAAAATAAAATGAATATTCATAAGGTTTATGACCAGCTGTTTGAGGAGAGTCTCAAGTTACATAAGGTTAATAGATCAATCCTTAAGAAACTTAATAAGCTTGTAGTCAAACTTAAGCAGTCTACCAAAGGATTGAATAAATTAAAAGTTGAGAAACAGTCCTTAGAAATTAAAGTTAAAACTCTTATAAGTTGATCTTAAAAAATCAAATGCCAACTTCAATATTTCTCTAGTGGTTCTAAGAAGCTTAACAACATATTAGAATTGCAAAATCAAGCTGGGAATTGAGGAAGTTCAGGAATTAATAAAACAAATTCTCTTCTAAAAATAAGGTTCAAAAATTGAAACCTAGAGTTGCTTCAAGGTTCATCTCTGCGTGTCACCATTGTGGTAAAATAGGATACATTAGATCTAAGCGTCGCGAGCTCTTGAGTAGGAACAAAACCAAGAATGTAGGTACTCGAGGATTGAAATGATCTGTATAACATAGGTTTCATCCACCTAAGATTGCTCCTAAATTCATTTCCATCTATCACAATTATTGTAAGTTAGGTCACATTAAACCTAAGTGTCGTAAACCCTTTATTAGCAACATCAAACAAGATCTAACTATTAATGTTAGATTCTTGACTTATCAAGTTAGTCGCTTGACTGAATTAATGACACAATTGACTAAGATAACATCTTCTTCTAAAATGATTTGGTTCTAAAAGAGTGAACTCACAATTTCGACGTTGCTATTAATTAATGACTGAATTGATGACACAAGTCAAAGTGATGATATTAATTACGACGTTGCTTTTCATGATAAGAGCGTTTGTGTGCCTCATTGATTAGGTGTTTAGATGTATGCATTTGCATTATTCATGATATCTATATATTCATGCATGCACATTCATCCATTGTATATTAGTACTTTCTTTTTGCTTTATTCCTTTATTATCAAAAAATAAATAAAAATTTTGATGAAAAAAATGAAAAAAGGATTTTTGAAGTCATAGAACTTCCAATTGTTAATTTTTCGAACATGTTATTTTGTAATCAAGTATTAGTATAGTTTATAAACTATTAATAAAGTTTCCATACGTTCTAATGAATATTTAGTATGGGATATTATATGTATCATCTGCACTTCCCATACACATTAAGCTTTTGTGAGTGAAGTTTGACCGCGTGTGTGAGATTTTGGATGTCGATCATCATTATGGTGGATTGACTTTTAATATAAAATGACCCATAACTAGTTGACCTAAACTCTTGTATATTCCTCATAAAAGAAAAAGATAGTTGAGATTCAAAATATTTAAAATATATGAAAAAGTAGGCCACATCTTATACTTTTTTATAGCATTTTTGACTCGAGCAATTAAACATATTTAATATTTTAAAATTTGATGCCCTATTGTCATCCAATTTTTTAGTTATTAGCCTAAAACTCATTATATAGGTCATTAAATATGCATAATGAACATAAGTATGCATATAAGATATGAAAAAAATGGGAGAGAAAATTATATGTATGTGTGTGCGCGCACACACTTACAGATAAGGGGAGAAAGCAAATTTATACATTAAAAAAATTAACATGAGCTAGAAAATTTATACATTAAAAAAATTAATATGAGCTTTTTATTTAAAAGGTTCTAGTAGCACTAGTTTGTCTTCATACTTTGATGAATATATTCATTCACCAGTGATCTTTGCACGTCCTTTCTCATTGATTTAAGGTTATGAAACTTACTTACAGAAGTTTAGTGGCATTTTTCACAACTGTAGTTTTTACAATTTACAACATATAGGTTTAAAATAAGTTATGTGGAAAAAGCTTACCGCTTATGAATTATGCCTGTATAAGTAAGCAAATAACACTGTTCATGATATTATATTTAAAAATTCCTGAATCATAGTTGTCTCAAAAGAAACCTTTTATTCTCCCATCACTCGTGTTGCATAATTTTGCATAATTTTTCCACGTGTACTTTTTTTTTCAATCCTCTCTGTGCTATTTATGAGTATAGTATATCGCTAGACTTCCTTTGTCATTCTTAACAAAAATGGGGAGAGTTAGTATTTATTTCAGAAAGTTGACAAGTATTTGAGTTAGAGGGAGTCGTAGTAATTCCTTGATTGATTGATACTTTAACTAGTATAATTGGATATTTTGCTTATTGATATTATGTTACATGTTTTGTATAGTATCAATATCATTATTTTGTGTTTCTAGTTCACCTATATATCTCATTTTGTTATGTTTAGATTCTAAGTTAATGGATGTTCATAGTAGTACATGCATTGGTGTTATACTTGTTTTGCTTAAATTATTTATCTAACTTAGGTATATGTCTTATTATAAGTTTTCTCTTGCTTTTCACGTAGTGGTTTTGTTTTTATGTGTTTCAAAAAATATGTTTGACAAGATATGAGTTAAAGTTTGAAAATTGAGTCTTTGGATAGATTGTTGTCAAATTGTTTTTTATTTTGATTTTGAAATAAACAATTTTGTCATGGAATGCCAAAGTGAGAGTTTATTAAGTCTCTATTTGTAATTGATTATTCCTTAGACAAAATTAAAGTAATGGAATTATAATTTAAAGTCAATTGGTTGGTAGTATAGGTCTTGGTGGAGTTAAAGAGTTTAAAGATGTCCAAGAAGATCACATATGATCAATGTGATGCAATTAGAAGTCAAATGAGTGTCAAAGTATCGCACAAGTCATGTTCTAAATATTAGTCACAAGTTGAGATGCATTTCTCGTATAGAAAACATTCGAATTTGAAATATTCTACTTTAAAAAGAATTGTAACCCCTTAAATAACTTTCCAATACATTTTGAATCGCCTCAATCCAATATTGGAAGAGAAATATATGATGAAAATACTGACAGCTACTCAGAGAGAGCTTGTTGGCAGCCCTCTAAGAGCTTGAGCGACGGTGCGACCAATAGAAACCCTATTCGAGTGAAACAATTATTTTTCAATTATATTCAACCTCAAACACTATCCATCATAAAAATACAAGCCACAAATTGTTTTTTTGGTGTGGTTGAACATTATTTTCATACAAGAACTCATTCTTTAAAGATTAAACACATATTCCAAAAGATTTCTTAATTCAACTCTAAGATCAAAGTTTCATATATTTTCCCAAATATTCTTTTTTATTGGTTGAGACATATAGCTCAAGAGATTGTCGTTTGAAGATCAATTACATATTCCAATATTCTCTTGTCTCAGCCATAGATCAAAATACAGAAAGATCTAAAGATCAAACACTAAAAATTCCTACCTTCACCTATAAGCCTTTAGAGGTATGAAGTTTGAAGAAGAGGCGCTTGGAATTCCAGTGCTCTAGAACGAGTTAGTTGTTGGTGATCCAGTGAAGAGAAAAGTAGCCCAAAGCTTTGGGAAGTGAGGGTCGCACAATCGAAGAGTTTTTCGATGATTTACAAGTTGAATGGTTAGAGTCAACTAAAGTCTAGCAGTGTCTGGACCAACTGTAACTTAACTTTTTCTAATGGATTTTTTTGCCAATATATGATCAGATGTTTATGATCATTGTGAAGAGTACTTCAATGGATTTTTCTCCATCATTAATTTTTGGTTTTACTACTTTGATCTAATTGTTTATGCGATTGCTTATTTGGGGTATAATTGAAATAACCTTAATCATCTAGAACCAATAAATTGCGACTTGATGCTTTATTATTATTATTATTATTATTATTATTATTATTATTATTATTATTATTATTATTATTATTATTATTG